CGCCTAAACAAATAGAAAGAGAGAAGTATCCTTTTCTTTTCTCACTCGCACTCGCATTCACGACCGAGAGACCTCAAGATAACGCACACTAGCTCGCTCGCGTGTAAAGACCGACGTAGAGGCGTGGCTTGCCCCCTCTCTTACAATTACCTTTGACCTTCATTTTCTCGCTTATTTTTGCAAATACGAAGATATACTTCCGAACATTTTTTATGTATTTTTCAATTCTGCACAACTTTTGTTTGAAACTTTTTTCGATTAAATGCCTGGATTCTAAGAAACGGCCATTTTTTACCTTTTTTTACTCTTTTTCTCGTAAATGCAAAATTGTATTGCAAAAAAATTAGCACCATTCGATTCAGCGATGTCGAATTACCATTGTATCAAATTGTACAATTAGTACACCTGAAAGTTTCTCATTTGCCTCTTATTGACTGGTCTAATATTTAATATATAATATATGTTTACTGTTTATACGATTACTGCCTTTTTGAAATTCTCCAACCGATTCCACAGAATAATTCCAACAGAATATTTGGATCTATTACCGCTAATACGTCTAATTCTAATTCCTTTTTTATTTTTATCTAATTTTGCATTAATATTTTAGGCATATGAAGTATAATTCTAATAACAGGAGAAAACGCAAGCTTTATTCTAAATATACAGAAATTTCCGTTATAGGCCATTATTAATTCAAAGTAACAGAACTGTATCATAAAAAAAAAGTAACAAAATGATATTTGAAATGCAAAAAGATAAGTTGTTATTGATATTCAAACTCAGAACTCAGGCCATTATTAATTCAAAGTAACAGAAGAGTATTATAAAAAAAAAAAATAACAAAATGATATTTGAAATTCAAACAGAGATAAGTTGTTATTGATATTCAAACTCAGAACTATTATATACATAATTTATTATTCGGTAAATACACACTGACAGAAGTATAAATAATAACAATTGGAAAAAACGGTTTCGCTTACTTCTACTGTAAACAGATTGCACAACATTTATTCTATTTTAGGTTGATGGTATTAGCAACTGTCATAAATATTGATATTGTAGAATACCATTATGGTATATTATACATTATAAAATTAGGATGTATATATACGCTACCTCATTAAAAAAAAACTAAAATTATACAGTAAAATGTCGAAAAATTAGCATATATTACCTGAAAGTAACACGAGCCCGTAGAGAATTAATAAACGACGTAAATGTAATAAACTTTCTCCGCAAATTGTTTTTTCTCTAAATTTCACGAAAAATGAAAATAAGAATCTTGAAAAATTTCTCTTCCTTCCAAGGTAGACCAATTCTTTTCTTTGTTAATCAACTTTTCTTTATTTTACAACTAATTCGAAAACAATCTTTAAAATCTACAAACTGCAGATATACAAATATTTTTTTTCAACAACAGTATTTTGTCATGTTAATCTTTTAACGAAAATCTTAAAAACTTTTCATGAAATTTTCATTATTTTCCTAACAGAAAAAGTTTAATATAAATTATTTATCCGAAAGTATTTTTTTTTTCTTATTTCCGTTAATTTATTCAAATATTTTAGTCTCCACGTTAAACATCGAAGACATTTGAATTAATATATTATTCAAATTAGCAAAAATAATGTTAGTATCTATTTTGTAACGGTTATTCTTTTTCTTTTTGAAATCAACCGTCAAAGGCGTCTTTAAGAAATCTAATCAAATTTAGATACACACACCACAAGCAGAGGAGGATGTGAGAAGGAATTGAATAACGATACGTAATACAATAAACAAAAAAAAAAAAAAAAAAAAAAAAAAAAATATTTCAGAGAAAAAAAAAAAAAAAGAACGATCACTTACTTAAATACGAGCTGAAGAAATTNACCGTCAAAGGCGTCTTTAAGAAATCTAATCAAATTTAGATACACACACCACAAGCAGAGGAGGATGTGAGAAGGAATTGAATAACGATACGTAAAAAAAAAAAAAAAAAAAAAAAAAAAGAAGAAAGAATATTTCAGAGAAAAGAAAAAAAATAGAACGATCACTTACTTAAATACGAGCTGAAGAAATTTCATCCTTTGTTATTTTTCTCGGAGCTAGTCGCTACACACATATGCTCATAGTAGTTGTGTAGTCGTTGTTTTTTCGCAACGGAAGTCGTATAAGGAAAAGAAATTATTGTTCCTGTCCTCTAAGTGGCATTCAGATGTTTCCTCGATGATTCTATTGTTGTTGTGTTGTATAATTGATAATCTAGGGATTTGTCATAACGAATGTTTTAGACAAAAGAACGTACAAAAGATCTTTTGAAAAAATGACAATGAATTGATATTTCTTAACTTTAGCAAATTGCGTTTATGATGAGGACAATGTACTACTTTATTCTTTTCTAAAAATCGAAAATAATATAACTCTAGTATGTCGGAAAATACAAAAATGAAAATGTTGCTTAGATAAATTCTGGTTTAAAAAT